GCGACCCTCAGATTGCGAGTCGAGCGCCCTAATCACCTGGCCATGCCGGGCCTTTTAGCGAACTGAGATCATTACACGGAGATTATGAATAACTTACTATGGCTTAAGTAAATTCTTATATTGCCAAGTTTAATAAGATGAGTAAGTTTATTAGTGATCTACTGAGCAAACGTTTAATAGAAGTGTAACTATCTAAAATATTGGTTAGACCACCGATTTGCTCGGAACGAATCCCTATTAAAATAATCCAGTTTTGAACCCAGCTAGGGTTCAAACTAGAGATTACATAGAATCATATTAAATGACCTTGGTTATCTATAGCAAACCCGACCAGTGCAAATATTTATCAAACGCTCACTGTCGGATTACTTAGCCTCGTGATATATATATATATATATATGTGTGTGTGTGTAGTTCAAGTATTTAAAATGTAGAACTGAAACTCGATCAGTGAAAAATCTAAAATAAACATTCCATCCTTGTTTAAATATAAGAATGAATTAGACCAGGAAGCGTTGCTAGAAAGTCCAGACTCCCCCAGAAGTCTGACGTAACTTTATAAATTCTACAAGCTCGCATTTGTCGTTCTCATCTTGAGTGTGTTATTAACCTTACATGTACGAACGAAGAAAGACCGGTACAGACAAGTTTCCTGTAAAATTTTCTGTTTGTTTGCAGCCTAATTTAGATGTGACTTTCTTCAATCTATTGAAAGCTGCACCGCTGTTTGTGTATAAGAACTGGTGGGACGAGTCGTTTAAAGCTCCAGGAATGCGAAACGATACATAAAAATGGAGCGTATATATATCAACAGTATCTCTGTAGTTGAAAATGTACTTTTTTTCATTACATATAGAGACCTGAATGTACTGATGTTGTTATCCGTAAAAAGTTTTTATCCAGGACTATATTCCGTCTTCATCTTGTTCTCACAATGGAGCCGGGAAAAAATATATCAGGAAGAAAAGACAATCACTTCAAGGTTGTCCGAAAGGAAAACTCCACAACTTTTATTTTTCTGACATTCCTTCGAAAGGTTTTTAGTTGTGGCCTTTTTCGTTATCCAGCGTGTGTTATCTAGTCCTATACTTTCGTCAAATAAACGCCACGTGGCACCGGTTTTCTCAAAGACAATGCTAGTAGTATTTAAGAGCGTGATGGTCGTAGTTTCTTAAGTTCCGCTGCTAGCTCGCGCATTATTATACACGAAGAGGTCAATGGCAAGGAGACAACACGCGCAAACTGAACGAGGAAACCCGTCGAAAATGAGGGTTTAATACTCGTCTTCTAACATCAGACACACAACCCACGTGACCTAAACGTCATCTAAGAGGCACCAGAAAAGTACCTGCGCAGGAAGAAGTGTGCGTTCTTGTGTTCAGTCATGAGCACTAGGAATAAATCACTTGAAAATATGTCGATTTCCAAAGCTTTCTTAATAATACGAGAATATTTTGTTTAAAAAGGACCCCCCCCAAAAAAAAAGAATACTTTTCCCAAAATACGAAATTTTGTTATCATAAGAACACCATTATTAATTGAAAAATAGATTTGTTACCGAGTTGAGATTTTAGCTCCTACATCTTTTGTGACTTCTATTAGTTGATTTTGATCCAGTAACTATAGCAACGGAACAGTAAGATTAACGATGAAATGCTGCGTTGGATTTCAAGATCTGAAACGTGGAAGCATTTTCGTCTGTCGCTTTTCGATGGTAAGAAGCACTTTTGTTTCCAGTTTTGGTAAAAGTTAAATCCCAATATAAAAATTAAATCCAATCTTCGATGGTAAGAAGCACTTTCGTTTCCTGTTTTGGTAAAAGTTAAATCCCAATATAAAAATTAAATCCAATCTTCGATGGTAAGGAGCTCTTTTGTTTCCTGTTTTGGTAAAAGTTAAATCCCAATATAAAAATTAAATCCAATCTTCGATGGTAAGGAGCACTTTTGTTTCCTGTTTTGGTAAAAGTTAAATCCCAATATAAAAAT